TTTGTTTTGATTTATTGCTCTCTTCATTTTTACCTTAAATCAGAACAAGTTGTTTCTCAACTTTTATTCAATCAACAGTATATATTCCTTCACAAAATAGCCAAATTGTCTTCAAATTCCAACGAAATTTGGTGAAAAATTACCAAAAAATGGCTTGAATAAAAAACCATGAAAAAACTGTTCGGCGCCTTTGCACGCCCACAAAACCGCGCCTCAAAAAGGGGCGGAGCGTCTCGACAGGTTGTTTACTTCTTTGTGTGTGCGTTCATCCGCGCAATTGTTTTGAATTGACTATAATGATAAAAACACCTAAAACCGGTTAACATCAACGAATTTTGACTCAAACTAAGTGGAGAAAATCTATCTAAAATTCGCAAGTGCGCTCTAATGAGAATCATTCTCAAAAAATATAAATTTTGGGTCAGTAAATGCGCTCTAATGATAAAAACTGTCAATTTTGACCGGTTTGGATCAAAATGAGTGGAAAAAATTGACGAGAATCCAGCAAATGCGCTCCAATGATAAACATGACAAAACACACTTGAAGTTAAAAATTTTTGGGTCAGAAAACGCGCTCTAACGATAAAATGGAGAAAATAAGCTTGTTTGGTGCTCAATTTGACAGGAAGAAGTCCAGAAAGCTATGCAGACGCGCTCCAATGCCAACGTTTCGAAACCGGGTCAGAAAACGAGCTCTAATGATAATTAGGTTAAAACTAAGCCCAAAAACTCGATTTCGACTATTTCAAACGGGAAAAAGCGTGTAAGTACGCCCCACCGCACCTGAAAGGAAGAAAAAGAGCACAACGGCGACTGCAACCACATAAACCACGTTGGCGGCCATTGCAAACGGAGCGAGAATCGATAATCGACGAATCGAACAAATCGAGAGCATCGGAATGAGCAATAGGAGCATCCAGACGGCCTTGGAGAGGTGGATCGAGGTGTTGTTGTTGAAGAACTGCAATTTTTTTGAATTTTGAAAAATTGAAAAAAACTTTTTTTTTGAAATTTTTTTATATTAACAGAGAGATCTGAAAAAAAGCTGAAAATTCGAAAAAAATTTTTTTTTCGAAAAATTCAAATTTCGCGCCGAGCCAAATTTCAAAAAAAAAAAACTCACATCCTCCAAATTATCAGCCATGAACACAAAATAGACACAGCAAAAGCCCAATTGCGAGATGAACATGTTCACATTGACGAGTTGTCTGGAAATTTTAGATTTTTCAAAATTTTGAAAATTCGAATTTTTTGGAAAAATATTAAGCGCGAAATTCGAATTTTTACGAATTTTACCGGAAATTTTGACCCAAAATCCATATTTTTAGGCTTAAAAATGAAAAAAAATTGAAACATTTTGAATTTTTCCCATTTTTCAGATCAAAATTTTTTGATAAATTCAAATTTGGCGCTCAAATTTTCAAATATTCTCTGAATTTTCTCAAAATTGTACTTGAAAAAGTATCCTTTTCGCATGATCCATGGCGGTCCCATCTCCACGGCTCCACGCATAATGTTGGCATAATCGATGAGGTCGCGACCGTTTCTGAAAATTCAAAAATTCAAAAAATCAGCCGCAAAAATTGAAAATTTCAGAAAAATCGAAAAAAATCGCGATTTTTCAAGTTTGCACCGAATTTTACGACAAATTGCACAAAACACCTGACCTTACGACAAAATGCACAACTTACCGATTACACACGAAATGAGCGGCAAAAACGACTTGTCGCATGCAATAGAGGCAAATTAGGCAGATTAAGACCGTCAGAATCAATCCGAGCTGAAAAAGATGGCGGGAAATTCGAATTTATTGAAAAAATCAAAATTTTCGACAATTTCAAAAAAAAATTTTTGTGAAAAATTTAGCTGAAAACAGTCATTTTAGGGTTAATTTTTGCTTTTAAACTCGATTTTTTAGTTATTTTCAGCTCAAAATCACATTTTTGAGCTCAAAATCCACTTACAAAGAGTCCAGAGTGCTTAAAAGCCAGTGGAAGCGATAGCAGACCAGTTCCGAGCATCGCTTTGACCATATGGATGAATGCCTGGAAAAATCTATTTTTTCAGATTTTTTAAAAGAAAGAATGGCTGAAAATCGAAAAATTTTCAGACAAAAAACAATTTTTTTTTGAAATTTTTAATTTTTTTTTCCAAAAAATCACCTGTTCTGGCGACAACGAATTTTCGGTCGGCTGCCGATCCTGGAACAGCGATGTGTCTTCTGAAACAGTGTTTCTCCGTGGAATCGGCTGATTTTCAACCTGGAAATTCGAATTTTTTCAGAATTTTTTTTTTCAAAAAACCTGCACTTCTCCGGGAAGCTCGGGCTCGTTGTCAAATTCCTGATAGCCATCTCGTGTCGCAGGATTCGCCATTTTCGCTAAAAAATCGAAAAATCAATTTTTGAAATATCGAAAAAAAATCAAAAATTCTAGAACTTTCTCAATTTTCACCCGATTTTCTATGGTTTTACACTTAAATTGCAGCAAAAATTATGAGGAATACGATAAAAATGATAAAAACCAAGTGTAGACACTGTCTATGACCAAAAACCAGCCGAAAACAGACCTGCCGCTGTGACTAATTAGATAGGTCCGCAATTGCGCGTAGCCTCTGGTGTATGCAGAAGGAAGAAAAATGGGCGGGAACTTCCTGATTTTCAAGTCATTTGTCATCATTTTCCATCATTTTTGGGTCATTTTTCTTGATTTTTCTCATATTTTTCACTGAAATTTACGATTTTGCAGGTGAAAAGCGGTGTTTGGCGGTGTTGAAACCCAAAAAGGCGGCCAAAATGTGACGATTTTCCATGGAAAGGTAATTTTTCATTTTTTATCGAAAAATCCCGGGTTTTTTCGCGATTTTCCCCGATTTCCTCTGTGAAATGAAGACTATAGTAAAAGGTCTGACCCATCGCTATCCGCCATCTCCTTCTCGCTCGACGAACTTGAAAACCTGGGCACTCTGGCTGAAATTTTAAACCACAGTGCTCTAAAAGAGTCATTCTAATAGAGATTCGGCCTTTCTAAGGCGGATTCGTGTCAATTTTTTGCGTTTCCGTCGGATACGAGGCCTACATTTATCACTGATAATAGAATGGACGAGTTGACGAGAACTAGATGGGCGGTGTAGTTGGGAAGTGATCACAGACTGGAATATCTGATCGTAGAGGGAATTCGGAGAAAAAAATGATTTACAAATTAAGTTTTAAAGCCAATTTTTCAAAGTTTTAGGTCTCACCAACCCAACGCCGCCAAGCTGCAGCTGCTCCGAGGACAAGAAATCTGGCAAGCGCACTCCACTGATAATTTTTAGGTTTTTTTTTGGTGTTTTAACTTTTGGGCGCTCTTACCAGAATTCTATGGTTTTTTTTTTTGGTTTTTTTTTGAATAAATGTTTAATTTTTTAAATTTAATTTTTCACTAAAAATTGGCTGAATTGGCTGAAAGTCTGAAATTTTCAGATTTTTTACTGAAATTGGAAACTTGAGGACATCGGGATTCACAGACACATTGGAGACGTTTATCGATAATAGCTGGAAATCTGAAGAAAAAAAGAAAATCCTGAAATTTTTCGGAAAATTTTTTTTGGAAATCTGAAAATTTTATTTTTTAACAGAAATTGAAAAATTGCGGACATCCGGATTCACAGACACACCATTTTAAGATGTACGTTCAAGTTTCTGAAAATTTCGAAAAAAAATTTTTTTTTGAATTTTTCAAAAATCTCAAAATTCTGGAAAAATCTGAAATTTTCTTTTTAAAACAAAAAAACGGACATCTGGATTGACAGACAAAAAAAATAAAAAATCTGAAAAAATTGCAATTTTCGATAAAATTTTTTTTTCAAAATTCGGGAAAATTGGAAATAGACGGGCATCCGGTTTACAGACGAAAAAAATACAAAATCTGAAAATTTCAAAAAAAAAATTTTTTTTGAATTTTTCAAAAATCCGAAAATGCTGAATTTTTTAAAAAATCGTCCAAAATGGCTGAAAATCTGAAAATTTCAATTTTTTACAGAAATTGGAAAACTGCGAACACATCTGGATTTACAGACAAAAAATAAGAAATCGAAGAAAAAAAGAATTTTTCAAAAATTTCAAAATTCTGAAATTTTTTGAAATCATCCAAAAAAGCTGAAAATCTGAAAGTGTGGACATCCGGATTTACAGACACATTCAAATACTTTTTCAGCGGAAATTCCAGGTGGAAAATTGCTGAAAATCTGAAAAAATTATATTTTTTCCGAAAAAAAAAACAGGATTCATATATCCAATTTTCTAGTCTACGAATCGCCTAAATCCAAAAACATATTGTTCATTTTCTCTCGCGTTTTTTGATGTTTCATTAAAAATACGAGAATTCGTCTTTCCCGAAAAAAGAAGAAGAATCGGGCAAATTGGAAAAGAAGAAGATGACTACTATCCAGGTGGAGAGAAGGCGGAGATAAGGCGAAATTTGTGGATAAAAGGAGAGAAAAACCCCGAGAAAAATAGAAAAATCCACAAAGAAAATCATGCAAAATCTCGCCAGAATTCTCACGATTTCCGCCGTTTTTGGCTCTGTTTCATCGACATTTTTCAATGGAGGATGTGGATGTCCACCACCACCTCTATGTCTTCCACCTCCACCACCAATGTGCTTCACTGAAATTCAATTACCCCCAATCCGGGTTCCAGTCATCCCATTGCCACGTATTGAACTTCCACAGCCATGTTGTCCAACCTGCGCGTGCGGCAGAAAGAAGAGAGGTACGTATATGCAAAGAGGAGGGGCCAACGGTTATGCAGTGCGTAGCGTAATGGCTTGCAGCCTTCGCTTTGGGGAGAGAGGCCCGGGTTTCGATTCTGTTCAGGGAAATTCTCTTTTTTCAGTTTTGGATTTTTTTAAACTTTTTTCAGTGTTGGACACATTTTTCGAAAAAATATCTAAAATTTGAAAAATAATTGTGTTCCAGAAATCGACACCGGTGTTGCTGAGGACACTGTAAGCACCAAGGATGTGTCCTGTAATGATGATGGGCTTCTCGCAATTATGAAGAAGGTAAACAACTTTTTTCTCAAATTTTTGAAAAAATCCAAACTGCAATTCATTTTTGTTCAATGGAGCGCGGTTTTAGTAACTTTTTATCGATTTTTGTAGTTTTTCACAATTTTTTCTCATTTCCTATGTTCATTAGGCTGACCTACACATTTTCACCTCAAAAACAGTCAGTTCCTACAAAAATAGCAAAAAAAAATCGAAAAACGAACTGCAAATTATTTTTGTTCAAAAGAGCGCGCTTGCGTGGCACCAAATCTAAAAAAACCGATTTTTTTATGTTTTAGCTGAGAAAAAAGCAGTTTTCTCAGAAGAAATTCCGTTAAAAAACGAGGAAAATCGAAAAAACCAAATTTTAACAATTTTTCGCAAACGCGCTCCGTTGCACAAAAATTCTTGCAGTTTGAATTTTTCAATTTAAAAATCGTTTAAAATTCGAAAAACGACTTTTACGGATTGATTTTTTTTTGAAGAAATGGCGAAAATCGCAAAAAATCGCTAAAACCCGAATTTTCGGTCAACATTTTTAAAGCTCGCTCCACTGCACAAAAACCTTTGAAATTTGAATTTTTGAGTTGAAAAAACCCTTTAAAACGGATTATTTGATCATTGACACTTTCTTTTCCCTTCTGGATTTTTATCTTTTTCGGCTTATATGTTAATAATCCAGTTTCTCGACACCTGCGTAATGAGAAAATCCGATAAAAAAAATCGAGAACCGGTTAATTTTCTATATGATAGCCATCAGAAAAAAGATAGTGTCATGCTAATGATGATGTCATGTATCTGAGCGGCTAAGCGGCGCGGTCAGCGGCGCGGTCGGCCGCGCCGGCGCTGACAATGGCAAGGAAAATTCGGGAAACTAACTAAGTAAGTATTGTCGAATTAAAAAAGTGACACCTGAGAATTTGAAAAATTCATATTTTTTTTTATCTACGTAAAAATGCGGCAAAAACGTAATATTTCAGAATTTCGGCTCGTTCGAGCTACTTTCGCGTTTGAGTTTAGTTTTTTTTTTTGCTGAAAAATGGATTCTAGAGATGCTAGCGATCATTTTTATACCAAGAAATCAAAATTTGGTTCACAGTATCCGTTTTCGCTCCGCCCCCTCGTAAATCGACACGAGCGCCGTCTCCGAGATTTTCAGGTGCCAATTTTTTTAATCCGACAATAAAAAGTCCAAAAGTTCAGAAATTTTGAAAAAAATTTTTTTTCAAATTTTCCAAAAATTCCAGGAAATGACCACCGGCGAGTCATCCTCCGTCAAAATCGCTTTGGTCGAGGCGGCCGAACAAGAATTGGGCGGTCGGTTTACTGTAGTTTGTTCTCAAGGCGCATTCTCATTTGTCACCTCCACAACAAGCTACTGTCTTCACTCCCAGTCCGGCCTTAATTGCTATCTTTTTAGAACTCAATAATTTTTTTTTATATATATGTTTTTTTTTTTTGAAAAATTGACATTTAATTAATCATCGCCTTTAACAAGGTGTTTTTTTTTGGTAATTAATGAATCCAAATGTAATAAATTAATTTCTTTTATATTCTTTTATGTCCCCTCTTTTTGCACAGATTCCATTATATAAGTGAGCAAATAAAGAGAGAACGTGTCACTTTTTGACAGCTGAATGAGCAGGGAGAGATCGAACCGAGTAGCTCAGGAAAATCCCGAAAAGAAGAGGATTTCGGAAAATTGGAGGAAACAATTTTCACTTTTTTAAAATATTCCTCATTTTTGAAATTTTAAAATTTGAAAAAAAACTAATTTTTTTCAGATTGGATGTTTCCTTGAAGATTTCCTTTTCTAAAATTTCTCGAAATTTCAAAATTCCAGAAAAACCAAAAAGTTTAAGAATCCAAAACACTAATAATTTCTAGTAACTCAGAAAATCTAAAATTTGGGATTGTTCGAAATGTTCAAAATATCTGAAAAAGCCAAAAACCAAAATTTAGAAAAATTGGAAAATTTTGAGAAATCCAAGAATTCAAAAAGTCAGAAAATCCTAGAAAAATCATAAAATTCAATATTCCAAAATTCAAAAATTCCGGAAATCAGAATTTTTTGAATCCTGCGAAATGGTCCAAAAACCCAAAAAAGCCAGAATTGTTAGAAATCTGAAAACCAGAAAACTCCGAAATTCGAAATTTCACAGAACTAAAATTCCAGGAATTCCAAAATTGGGAAAATCAGAAAATCCATAGAAAGTTTTAAAAAATCCAAGTTTTCTATAAAAAAACCAAACAGAATTCCTTTAAAATCTAAGAATTTCTAAAATTCGGAAAATCAGAATTTCTGAGATTTCAAAATTTCCAAAATGTTAAAAACCCCTAACAAATCCAAAGAATCTAAGAAAAATCCAAAAATTTCAAAAATCCCAAAAGTCGAAAAATCGAAATTTTCAAACAAAATTTTTTGGGATTTCAGACATTTTTGAACAATCCTGAATTTCAGATTTTCAGATTTT